TCATGTAAAACTTAGTATTTTTCGATTATAAAAGCACATGCAAGAGCGAAATTTTGAGTTTATAGTTAGTAAGGCTTGTAGTATACAATGGCATATGTGAGAGGGGCTGGGGCAGAGTTTGCCCTTTTTGGACTATCTTAATTTTCTCGCTTTCTATGCGCGGAAAAAATCCAGTAAAGGCATATTTAAGATATGTAAGGTGGCTGTAACTGAAAGTGCGTGACTTTGCTCGCACTTCTCGCGTATCTGTCAGAAAGCTTGCCTGCTTGCTTTTCTAAGTCACAGTTACTAGGAAGTGTGCTATCGAATGGTGCATGACTCAGGCTCCAGTCTATGAAAATCGCCGAGTTACGAGCCTTCGAAAACACGTCCTCTTGAATTTTGCCCAGAATGTAAAGATCAAAATCCCACCGTGAGTGCTTGTACAACACGCTAGTCAATCTTTTCACATCCTTAATGGATCTTATGTGTTAGATTTGGTAGCTTGAGCTCTAGCCAGGAAATAGCTTTGATATTCCATTGAGCTGCTGAAGCACACGCAAGCACCATATTCAATAAAGTGGGAGTCATTGAGCAAAATGAACATAATATCCGCAATGCGAGTGTCATACAAGCACTCACGGTGGGATTTCAACGAAACATGCAATCTTTCCATTTTGGGCAAAATTCATGAGGATGTGTTTTCGTAGGCTCGTAACTCGGCGAATTTCAGACTGTAGCCGAGTCATGCACCATTCGGTAGCATAATTTCTAGTAACTTTGGCTGAGAAAAGCAAGCAGGCATGGTTTCTGACAGATACGCGAGAAGTGCGGGCAGAGTTACGCACTTTCGTGATGCAGTTACAGTCACCTCACCATATCTCTCCAAAAAGGCCCTGTAATCCTCAGAGACCACGATTTTCGTAAAGAGCGTGTTCGAAAACCTCTACAAGCAAAGTTTTCTTACAATTGAAGAGCATTAAAATTTTGACCAAAATCCATCGGCGAGTTTCCGGAGCGTAAAACGAGAAAAAATGAAATAACCCGAACATATCGGGAAAGCTCGTAGAGGTTATCCGACCTGCTAATTTCGAAACTCACTTACTACAAACTAAACTACAAAGCTATCTGCTTAGCAAGATAGCTTTGTATCCTGGGGCTATGGCGCGTAGAATTTGGGACGACAAGATTTTTCCACAATTCACCAGCCATTCTATTTTTTTGAAAGAAAATCTGCGGCTACTATTTAACACATCATAATCTGCAAAAAAGCACTATCGAAACATCCTTGCTGGAATGTACTCGGGACAATGCTTGCTGCTTTACACCTTCGCGAAAAGACGTCCTCAGAAAGTTTAAGAATACTGAAATCGAAATATCAAGGACATGCTGTATTAGGTTGTTGCATAAGTTCTGTCCGAAAAATTTACTAACATTGTTTTTTAGCAATTTTATGAACAACAACAAACTCAATCAAGTATATAGTCTCCTTGGTTGTCTATGACCTTCGCCCATCTGTCGGGCAGCTCTTCGATCCCGCTTCTCCAGAAGCTGGGTAATTGTGCCTCAAAGAATTCGTCAAGTGCCGTTTTCACCTCTTCTTCATCAGCTAAGCGCCTCCCGCTGAGAGACTGTTTTAGAGGGCGGAAAAGCTTATAGTCGCAAGGTGAAAGGTCCGGGCTATATGGCGGATGAGGTACCAGCCATTCTAGCTCAGCCAATTTTTGCTGGGTGGCCAAAGCTCGAGTGCTGGCGCGTTGTCGTGGAGGAGGTGGACTGTTGCACGTTTTGGGCGTTTTTCTCGAACTGCTATCGCTAGTCTCTCAAGCTGCTGTGTGTATACGGTTGTGGTGACCGTAACGCCTTCGGGCAGTAACTCGTAATAGACCATTCCCCAGGAATCAAACCAGCAAGACAACATGACCTTATGTTGATGGCGGTTCACTTTGGGATCATATGGCGGCTGTTGTTCTTTCGGTAACCAGAAGGCTCGTCTTTTGACATTGTCATAAAGGACCCAGCTTTCGTCTCCAACAATTACATCACCGAGAAAATCCCTTCTCTGAGGGCGAGCAGAAGCGACTAACAGATGCTAACACGACAGTCCTTAGCGGCTTCGCTCAAATGATGAGGTGTCCATCTAGCCAACACTTTCCGGTAATTGATATTCTGGAGATGCCGAAAAGCTGTTAAACTGTGGCATCCAATCTTCTTGGCCAACTTGCGCACAGTTGTATCTGGTTTCTCCTCCAAGGAACGGCGCAATTCTTCATTATTGACGCGCACTGGATCACCGATGCGTTCAACGTCTTCGAGGCTGGTATCGCCCGCCTTAAAGCGGGTGTACCAACGGCGCACGGTGCTTCCCAGTGCTTCTCCTCCGCAGAAATTGTTAATGTTACTAGTGGCGTCCATTGCTTTGGTGCCCCTCAGCTACTCATAGAAGATATATGTGCGAATTTGTTGCTTGGTAATTTAAGCCATTATAATGCTTACTAATTAAGTAGAAGAGCTTATATATTCCTAGCATGATGGCCCGAGGTGTCCTGTAGAACATTGCTAGTATGGTCCACTCATTACCTGACTGTAAGATTTTATGGTGTTTTGAATTAATTTGACTGAACTTATGTTAATTAATTGACAGAACTTATGCAACAACCTTATATATAAAAAGATTCGCCTTGATGAGCTGAGCAAGGCGCTGTTTTCGGATTCAAAATGTACTTATTCCGAAGGAAGTTATGGCGAGTAGAATTTGAAAACGCGTGATTCTTACAAAATTCACCAACGCTTCTATCTCCTTAAGAAGTCTGAGTCTATTCTTTAGCGCACAATAATCTACAAAAACGGTATTATCGAATAGTACTTAGTTAAAGTCTTCTATGTTGGGTAGGCGCTGCTTTACATATTCGCGAAATTACTTCCGCAGAAGAAATTGAAAAAACTGGAAACGGAGTATCGAAGAAATCGTACCCCCACTTCCAACAAACCAGAAGAGTCTCCGCGCCGAGCTGAATCGAATGGTGGCTTTGGATTCAGAATTCGTCCACTCTGAAGCGAGATATGGCCACGCGACGGTGATGTCCATACATGCAGCGACATGTCCATACATGTCATGTCCGTACATTCACGTCTATTTTTCAAAAAAATGTGAGCGGTGTTGTATGAGGTTATCGATACACTTGACAAAATATAGTAGTTGATTGATAGCCACTGATGAAAAACTTATGAATAAAACGATTTAGCCCAACCACTGTTGGCAAAACTTTCTTTACAACCTAGTATTATACATCCTGTTTACATAACTGATCCTTCGATGTAACCCCGCTGTTGATGTTCCACCAACCCCCCACTCGTGGATACCAGAGATCAACAAGAACGCGGAAGAATATTTTCAGGTTGTTCAGTGCGTGATGTACGAAGTTTGTTGACTGTCTTGTATTACAATATTAGAGCCTCTAATGGATGTCAAGGTGTAAGGCAAGATTTCACATGAAGTCAGTGAAAAGCTAGTTCAGATTACAAAGATATTCACCGTATGAATTTGTGAAAACAAGAAATTTAGTGTAACCATGTTTTGGCCCTAGTATGAAAAATACGGTTGATGCTCTATGTATCATTTGCTGCTTGAAGCCATGCTGCTAACTAGTGATGAAGCAATAGGTTAGTTCAAAACTATTGAGCTGGCTGATAGATAATTTTGGTTGATGGTTTTTGGAAATGTTAATGACAGATTTATCTATGAATAATTAGTATTACTGTAAAGAGCAAAGTAGAATCAAATGGTCCACCTTGTTTCAGCAGAAACTACATCTTTTGATGAAGAAATGATGCAGGAAATTAGAAAACAAATTCGCTTAATTCGAACTCATGCAAAAAACAAATTGCAACCATCAATATAGCCAAGAATGGTCTAAACCATTTAGACCATTAATTTTCAAAATCAAAGAATATGAGCGATAGACTGCCCAAAAAAGACTCTCGCAAACAAATTGGGAGAATTTTTTTTTGAAGAAATTCGCAGATCGCATAACAACCTTTGCTGTGGTTCGCCGTTTAGCAAAAACTTGCACATATGCAATAACCCAATTATTATTGCACACACAGCAGCTTAAAAAAGTTTAGAAAGCTGAAAAATAATTGTTTGAAGACTAAGGCAGGCATAATTGTCATTTGCTTGTAAAGAAAAGATATGAATGATAAAAAGATTTAAAAAGATGTGGAAGTCTCCCCACAAAATTTTTGACTGAACAACGGTTTCAAGTTTTATTTGATGCCATAACGATAATATTCACACATTATTTTCATTGCCAGAAACTCAAAAATTCTCCAATACTATGTTCCGATTCCGTTACGTCACTAATCCGTGTTCAGGTTGGATTATGAGATAATAGGCACTGTTTGTTCGCAAATGTCTGGTTTCAGTTCTATGTCAAATTTTTCGTTTTTACATCAACTTTTTTTGGAAAATAAGAATGATATTGTTATTGTACCATGATGAAATTTGCACCATAATTTAGTTACAATTGTACGAATACGCTCGGGAACTACAATATCTTCCATAATTCGTAGAAGAAGTTATCAAACTCACCGACGTTTACCAAAGCCTTGTCGCATCGCCACATTTTTGTTCAGTGTGAACTATTATTCATATAGATGATTTGTGTCGATTTTATAATATTTCTGCCTACAGTAGGTTGCTCAGTAAATAAGCACACATAATGACCTACCGTAAGCTAAATATGAATTCGCAAAATTTTGTCGCCTACAATGCACCTATCGTGTCCTAACAGGCACTTCTTGACCCTACCGAACTAAGTTGTACGGTCATTTTGCACTCAGAATTTTACTCTGCAGCAAAATATGTCAATGTGACGCAATTTTTCTTTTGACCGTTGCAGTTCGGTGGCTTTTTTAGCGAATTATGCGAGGTATTGTAAAAGTATTTATTTTCTTCTCAGGCTTATGTCCGTATATCCTCTCAATTTTCATAGAAAACTATATTTTAGCGCCGTACAGCGATGCTCATCCTTGTAGCACTTCTTGTGTTAGCAAATCTATCTGCGGCACAGATGCAGATAATGGCTACACCTGGAAGCATTATGACCGGCGATGGTATGGCTAGGTATTATGCTCAGTCTATGAACGAAACTATTCACTATATACTTCGCAAGTCGAATGTAACAGCTCCTACGGAAGTGGATGAAATGGTAAGGTATTTTGATTTACTTTGTCTTTTTGACTTCTGCCTTGATTTCAGATTATCGACGTTATGTTGAGAAATCTGAAGCCGATGACAGTCAAAAGACTTCTGCAATCTCTAGACGGCGAGGTAAGGTTGGAAATTCATTATTACATTTTCTAGATTCTGTAATTCTCTATCGTAGAGAACGCTCATTTTTGATCTTTATTTCTCATATTTCCCCACAATTTGCGGCAAAAAGAGCGTAATTGCTTCGTCGGTTCTACTAGCAAAATGTTGGAGAAGAGGTTAGCATTACGATGTTAACTATATCGAAAAGGATGCCATGACTTTCGTAAGAATTAACAATATCTGAAAAGGAAGCTAGTGACTGTATGTAGTAGCGCAACCAGTTCCAAAACTATTTACTGAAACTTAAAAGCTGATAAAATCATTTCACTATCAGGGTGTCCCATAATTTTTTACTGTTTTTACTATAACCGTCATTTTGTATTTTTCTTTTATGTGGCTTGAATAATCATTCGACAGGGCCAAGCAAATTCTACAAAATGGCTATGAAGAATCCGCCCAAAGCGTAATTTACCCGGAAGTTAAGCTGAAATCTGATCGAAAACGAACTTTTCCTTCGAAAATCGTATCTCCGCCCCAAAATGTCTTAAAAATTCGCCAGTTATCCTAGCATATGCTTGACTCATTGCACATATAAATGTACTGTTTCCCTATTTTCTCTACGGTTAGAAATAAAAAAGAATGAATGGGGTAAAACGGCAGACTCCGCCTCTAAACATCCTGAGCTCCTGCAACGCACGTGATCATATAGCTTATACATACAGAATTACAACTATGTATTTATAAACTTCGAAGGTGCCTCAGTTCTCAAGAAATGCTGATGTTTAGGGTAAGAACGGTAAGAAAAATTATGGGACACGCATCAGCTATCTATTCACTATTATTTACCAAACATAAGAAAAGTCAAAATTCGAACATTTCACTCTAATCTAATATATGCGAGCTTTATTCCGCAGTCGTAAACAGAGGATGAACAGTAATGTAAGAAAACAGATTTGCTCTGTCCTGATTTTTTTCACCCCAAATAACTACTCTGGTGAGCTAAGCTTTTCGCTTGAATCGCATAAAGGTTCAGTCCCGGTTACTGTTTCACTGACCGATCAAAACAAATTTACTTATCAAAAAACAATTTCTTCTCAATCATAGTTTCAAGAAGGCGTAATAACCGGTCTTAATTTGCTTCTGCAAAGGTTAAAATGATAACTTACTTGATTATATCTATAATTAGCTTATGAGCTGTCTTTTACGTCCCCAAAACGTTTATGTGGAATCAACAATGACAATTCTGTCTAACTTACTGTTTTGTAAAGCTACGCGATATACGAAACAGCGACTGTTTTGGAAATTTTGCGTTTGATTTGTTGCATAAAAAAACAAAAATGGTACGGTAGTTAGAACTAATCTCATCGTGATATAACGGAAAACTTTGGGGTTCTACTGCTGCTGCCATTCATAAAATGCAATTTGGTACCGTTTAGGAAAGTTGGAGTTGTTCAAAAAAAATGATGCAATGACGGAGTGCTAACAAAGGATCGTGAATATGAAATTTTATAACTTTGTCCGCATTTACTTAATTTCAGATGGATGCACGTGACCGATCAAATTTCTACAACACTGCCATTCCGAGAATTACTGGACTGTACAATAAGATGTGCAAACTTGTGTATGGCCTCGCGGAAATCTACGGATTCAGTGGTGACTCGGTGAAAACTGTGAGTTGTTCATTTCACAGTGCTATGAGCTGTCAGCAACGGCAAAGCTGAGAAAAGTGCATACTTTGTTACTGTTATTTTTGGTTGCGAAAGTTCTGTCCGACACAAAGTGAGAATGAGGGAGGTGATACTGACGCAATTCTATCGCTTTTACTACTCTGCCGAGCTTGGCTAACATAAAGATCTATTGAAGGTTTTGGAAGCTAAGGAGAAATGAGAAAGGAATCAATTTTGTACGCACCACTACTTCCTTGTTTTTCCTTGCCCTTGTTAACTTCTGATAAACCGTCCAGCTTTTGCTTGAAGAAGCTTTTAGGCAAACAGTTAGGTCGAGTCCGACACCGCTACAATTTTTGGCAATTTTTTTTATATTCATGCAAAACTCCACTTACACGTGATATGTAATATCCTTCTTGTATATGCAAATACCACGCACGTATCTTCGTATGAACTAGCACGAATCTTTCACTGTTGCTCTGTTCTGTCGGGGAGTGCAAAAATCATTTCACCAGCAGAAGAAAGAAAGCCTTGTAAGAGGCAATAAATTGGATCCCATCAACTTTACCAATACATGCGGGGTGTTCCAAAAGTATTATACACTGTTTGATCGTTAATATCATCTTCCCAAGAAGTCTTTTGCCGTCCCTTTAGACACCATTTTGTAGAGCTGGCTTCAACCTAGAGTAGTATGAACCGAATCACCGATCGCTTTTCATTACTGTAGGATTGCGGTAGGAACTTCGAAGGGTTTTGAGCCATTAAAGGCTCTATTTTGCTTCGACCAACTACAAAACCTTGAAACTTTTACACTAGGCTAACTAGAGTCGGCAAAATCAAAAAAGAACTTTGCATTTTACCGCAAAGGTTCCTTCATGAGTTAGCCGGGTGAACCGCAACAGCTGTCTTTACAAAACTGTGATTACACCACTTGAAAAGCTTTACAAACTCCTAAAAAGTTGAGTAATGAAATCAGTGCGCGCATCCACTTTTCAGAATTTTTGTAAACTTTTTGTTGAACTTTTTGTTTTTGTCGATATTACTTTTCCCAAGAAGTCTTTTGCCTACCGTAAGGTACCATTTTGTAAAGCTGACTTCAACTTAGACTTACAGTATGGACCGAATCACCCATGTCTCTGCGTTACTGTAGGATTGCGGTAGGAACTTCAAGAAGGGTTTCAGCCATTAAGGGCTCTATTTTGCCTCGGAAAGCAAATCAAAAAACCTGGAAATTGCTAACTATGCTAAGTAGAGTCGCAAAACCAAACATGAACTTCGCCTTTCACCGCAAGGGTTCCTTCGTAACTTATGCCAGGTGAACAGCAATAGCTGTCTTTAGAATGCTTCCTAAAACTGTAATTACATCATTTGAAAAGCTTTACAAACTTTCAAAAAGTTGAGTAAAAATTAGCGCGCGTAAAATTACCGATACACCACTTTTCAGAATTTTTGTAAACTTTTTTTTGAAACACGACTAATCCACAATAACGCTGTAAGCCAAAAGTTTCGCCGCAATCCTACAGTAAGGAAGGGCGATCGATGGTCCGCTCAATACTGTAAATCTAACAAGGGAACCGCGTCGAACCGAAGTGGCCTTTCCAGATGAGACCCATACTGCTTTGAAGAGTATTAAGCGGTGATTCCAAATCTGCCTTCCAAATCTGCCAAGCGCCTCTGGACGCCGTGTTATGACCGTTTTTCTGAACGAAAAATGAATGCAGAATTTAGGTTTTGGTAATTTAGGTAATTGATCGTTACAATCTTTCCAGCGCTCAGATAAAGCCCCCTTGTAAGTTGAAGCTACCTCTCTAAAATGGTACCTGAAGGTAGGCAAAAAACTTCTTGGGAAGAGGGATACTAACGATCAAACGTGTATACATACCTTTGGGACACCTTGTATGATTAACTCTGGAAGTTTCTTCATTTGTAGCTCTACTAGAATTTATCAAAGTTTAGAAATAACGCATTCGATATATTACTGTCTATCGAATTTACATTCCAATGAGAGTTGCCCCTGCTGGGTAATCTTTCAAAATTCATCGAACTTCTTGCGGGTGTTCTCGAGTGCTAGCTGCAAATACGAAATTCATTTCCCTCATTGGTTTCACAATGATGCTACGATAGCCGTACTTGTCCTCTTCAAGCATAATCTTCTACTATAAGTTTTCTTATTTAGGCTATAAATAAGGGCATGCTAGACCTTTAGCTCTAGCTTCGCGAAAAATTGAAACCAAATATAACTGTCAATGTTAGTGGCATTTCCACTATGCTCGAACTGAGCTTCCAGTTTGTACCCATTAGAAGAGGTTGTTTGGAAATTTTGGTACTTCTTAATTCGGCGTGTACCGAAATCCTTATCGAACATATCTTGTTTCACTCCAACATCGTTTCCGTCGTCATTGCTTGAAGCAGCTTTCAGAAAACGGATTTATTCTTGCACTTGGCTACAACAAATGTTCATATCCAAAGTTCTGTATTACATTAGTCGAAAGTTGTGCACCTCCAATTCTGGCAATTTTCTTTTAGCCCCCCCCCCCTAGTGCCATATTTTCTCGCGATTGGTTTCTTTTGGAAGACGCGATTAAGCGCTCTGATAGAAATATTAATGATCAAAACTGATAGATGACTTCGACATGTTGTGAATTTCTTGAAAAGACAAGAACCTTCATCTCTGCCTTACGTCACTCATTGTTTCAAAGCTTCATCATTTTTGTCGTTAAAGTAAAGTTTTGGGAGTTCACAATTTCAATTTATATTCTAAAAGAGAAACATGAGTGTCATAGTTAGCTTTTGAAATGGCAATTGCAACTTTCCTAAATTTTTGATTATTGACGAAAAAATGATAATTTCTGGGATGAATTTGATGCTAGCATTCCATAATTTTCCCGCAGTCGCTTCGTTTACTGCGCAGCGTTTCCATTGTTTCGAAGACCCTAAAGTTGTACATCTCCAATCGGCAATTTTCTTTTAACCTCCCCCAGTGCCATATTTTCTCGCGATTTTTTTCTTTCGGAAGACGCCAAGCGCCCTGAAAATAGAAATAAAGCGCCCTAAAAACTTGGTGCTCCTTTATTTGCATGCATTATATTTTTGCCATGTATAGGCTAATAGATTCGAAACGCCAGAGTTTATGAAGACTCTGCGGTGCAACAGCATTCTCGCGTGTACAGATTCATGCTCATGCTAATGCCGCCAATCTAGCGTGGATTGGCCACGGGCCACAAAATTCGTTTGCACTCACTAGCATTTTCTGAAGATTTTAATTAATTTTAACTTTTTCACGCGCAAGTGATGTCGGCACTGCAGACTAGTCTCGACCTTTGCGTCGCTTTTCACGGAAGAATGGCTCCTGCTTCCATTTGCTTCCGCAATGGACTTACCTAGGCATCATTTTTATAAAAAAATTTTAGTTACCGCTTGAGAATTTGATGAGATCCAAGAAAGGATGCAGCAATAATCCAAAAATTTATTACACAAAAATAACTATTAGGTTGGTGCAAAAGTAATGCGCGTTTTGAGAGTTCTCACTTTGACGTGCTATAACTTCCTAAAAAATCCATATTTTTCAGTACGGCAAAGTTTATCAGAGGCTCCAAACCTTTCTCTATACAGCGCACGTTGCCCTAGGTTAACTTCGCAAATCGGTGGAAAAATATGGATCGATAAGTAAAAAAATTTTTTTCGCAAACCTCGTGTTTAACGGATCATAACTTCCTTCAAGATTTGTCGGTATAAATGATAAGTTGGCTATCTTGTAGCCGCAAGCCAGTAGTACAAAAAAAGCACAAAAGGGCTCAAATATAGAGTATTTGCGAAAAGGAAAAAAATAATATTCAAAATTTTCCGCTTTTTTCGGCATTTTTGGTAGCCCTCAAAATCCCAAAATACGGAGATTTTTGAGATTTCTATTTACTGAACAGCTTCCACATTTCTGCAAAAACTGTCAGTAGGAGGCCCACCCTCACGCTTATAGAAACGAGCAAAACTTTGGCGATTGCCCTCTTCAAAGGAAATCTATGGACCACAGAATGGCCAAAACCATCACTCATGATGAGGCGCCGAGATCTCAGTCTAAGTAATATCTAGGAAAACAGTAAAGCCTGCATAGGGTAGAAGATTTCTACTATATACAGTAGTTAAATTTTCAAAAGAATGCTTTTACTCGCGCTTGAATTCTGGCCCAAAAAGTAAGTGCAGTGAAATTTTGGTTTTGAGTGCGCTTGTATGAAGCTCTATAATTTTTTAACGAATGAGGCTAGAAGCTTCTTTCAACCACCGTTGGATAGAGCATGAAAGAAGCTTCTTGATAATATGCTGGTTAGGTTTCAAAGGAGAAACTTTGATGGAGAAAAGCTATCTTGAAACAAGGGCTAGAAAAACGCGCATTACTTTTGCACCAACCTAATAATTACAGTACGCCGCAATGCTACGTCCTATGAAGCTCTCTGCCATCGTTGCTGCAGCATTGGAAGGAGCGCGTAGTGACAACGTAAGTTTTCAATTCCTCACAAATCATCGTAATTTTTCTTCTTACAAAAACAGTTCACCTTCATTCCTCTGATTTTAGAACACCGAACAGTATGAGAAAATCTCAGCGCTTGCCAAGCAGATTGAGAATATGGATGTGAAAGCTACGACAGTCAACCCAACACGAACAAATCAAACAATGACAAATTCGAATATGACTATGCCTATGGGTTCGAACGTTACCATGATGCCAGGGTTAAGCTCAACTATGCCTACAGCTGTGTTAAATGCAACTGAAATACACACTCTCACCGCTGAGTTACACAATAGCACAAACTCTAATCACACTGAACCGAACGTGGTAACCGGAGGTAACACAACTTTACCAGGGGTGGGTAATACCCATTCCAACATGACCATGCCTATGGTCAACATGACCATGCCTATAACTAACATGACCATGCCTATGGTTAACATGACCATGCCTATGGTTAACATGACCATGCCTATGGGTAACATGACCATGCCTATGGTTAATATGACTATACCCCTGGGTAACATGACCATGCCTATGGTTAACATGACCATGCCTGTGGGTAACATGACCATGCCTATGGTTAATATGACTATACCCCTGGGTAACATGACCATGCCTATGGTTAATATGACTATACCCCTGGGTAACATGACCATGCCAATGGTTAACATGACCATGCCTATGGGTAACATGACCATGCCTATGGGTAATAACATGACCATGCCAATGGTTAACATGACCATGCCTATGGGTAACATGACCATGCCTATGGGTAACATGACCATGCCTATGGTTAACATGACCATGCCTATGGTTAATATGACTATACCCCTGGGTAACATGACCATGCCTATGGTTAATATAACCATGCCTATGGTTAACATGACTATACCCTTGGGTAACATGACCATGCCTATGGTAAACATGACCATGCCTATGGTCAACTCAACCATTACCGAAATTGGCAATATCGTAAGTATGTTCAACAACACCATGCACTCTAACACCTCCATGCCAGTTATTGACGCAATAATACACACAGCCAACAACACCGTGGGAGGACTTAATCCGATCATACCCCAACTCAACATCTCGTTCCCTCTCACTGAACCCGTAAGTGGCAGGTAGTGGCAGGGCTCAACTCAACTACGGCACATCTTAATAACACCAATCCGCTGCTTACAAGGATGAATATTTACGTTGAGGCTTAAATATTGAATAAATCATTGTTTACACCGTGTTCTTTTCATTGATTCGTGCAGTATTGCAATTAGTTTTGCTCCAGATTCCCTTTTTCAAGCTCCTAGGAGAACTGTCTAAGAAAGTTTCTTTCTCAAAAGAAAGTCAGGACTTTCAAAAGCATTCGCTTCCGTTGCAGGTCATCTGACTTGTCTTCGAGCTTATTGCGAATTGTAATTCGTTAGTATACCAGTGGCGGTCCTAAAATTTCCATTCGAAGAAGGGGTGGGTGGGAAATGGGGAGAGGAGACAAAAAAATTTTCAAATGAAGGCGCGTGGCTCTATCATGCATTCCAAAAAATTTTATGGGATCCTTTTTGAAATTTTGGAGGGCCCATAACCACGATCTTCGAAACTATAGTCCAGTATGCCTGCTGAGTATGCTGTACAATCTTTTCACGAAGATTATCCTCGCTCGCATATCTAGAACACTGGATTGAAGCCTAACCTTAAAGGCAGTGGCTCGGCAAATCCCCGACCTAAAGTTTTTTCGCTTAACTAAGGTATTTCGACGCGCTGATTCCGAAAATACACTTTAAAGAGCGCGAAAACGGCGGAAACTAGCATTTTCCGAGGCTCATCATTTTGAATTCGGACGAGTGTAACGCTTCACGTCATAGTTAGAGACGTAGAGTCGTTTCGGGACCATCATGTTTATAACATTGCGGCATGCCGCCTCCGACGGTGGAGGGGGGGGGGGGGACCGCGAGCTCTCCGAGCGCGTGTAAGAATACCTTGCGCGCACGGGTTTCGGGGCAATTTCCTAGGCGGGGGCAGCATGGTGTGCGCTCGGACCTGCTCTTTTCTCATGTTTGGGATGCAAGCAACTTTCCATATCAAAATTTTGGTATATTTGATTTTGCAGAGCTACTGCCTTTAAGAACAAGCTGGATTTCGCAAAGGATTCAGCTGCATGGACCACATCCAGACGTTTTCGAGGGTTATGGAAGTCTGCCGGGAGTACCGACTGCCTCTCGTCCTAACCTTCGTCGACTACGAGAAAGCCTTTGACAGCGTTGAAACCAACACCATTCTGTCTGCGGTAGTCGATCAAGGAGTGGACTCAACTTACGTGAGGACGTTAGCCGACTGCTACAAGGACTGTACAACGATCATGCAGCTATTCCATGTTCGTACCAGGCTTGTTCCGCATCGAGTTGCAAGACAAAATGGAAAAAATCCAAAATTCTGAAAAAATGAAAATATTTGTATCTTAGTTCAAAAACGTTCTGCAAAGCTTCCACTTGCTCACGCATGTAATCTGGCCCACCAGCTATTTATATATACACTTGCTGCATTTTTCTGATGGCTAGAAATCGAGAAAAAAACAGTGCGTTCAATTTTCATTTCAACTCGGTCAAACTCAATGGTTCAGAAGCTTTGGCAGACTCGACATGTGGAATACTGTGCCTAAATCCATTAACTTTGTTTCGAAAAGATCATCTAACATGAGCTTTATTTCAACTATTACCATAGACAAAGTGGCAGATCTGACCTTTGAAAAGTGCCTGAAGGAATTTGAAGTAAACTTCGGAAAGTGTTTCCCCACCTTCTTTATCCAGTAAAGAAACCTTCGTCTCCCACCCCTGCCCACCTCCCTCCCCCCCCCCACTTTTTGGTCAGAGTTTCGACTGCCACTTCCAGAATGGGAAAATCGTTTGCAAACTAATTACACACTTCCATTCTCCCTGCAAATTCGGGCTAACTCATCATTTTCACTATCTCTTGCCGTCGATCCCAAAAGAAGTACAATCTTCTAAATTAAATGTCCGTGTTTTTTAGCCATTTTTCTTTCGGCCGCGGGTAATCCTGGACTAACATTAACTTACTTACGCAAACGGTAGTAGATTAGAACCCACAGATCATGCTTTTTTGAGCCTTTCCAATTACATTAGTGCAATTGGGTATATAGTGTCTTTTCTGGCATATACAGGGTGTCCGTAAAGTATGTATACACTGTTTGATCGTTAATATCTTTCTTCCCAACAAGTCTTTTGCCTTGCTTCAGGTACCGTTTTGTAGAGCTGGCTTCAACTTAGATTTACAGTATGGAGCGAATCGCGATCGCTCTTCATTACTGTAGGATTACGGTAGAAACTTGAAACATATGGCGTCAATGTGGAAAAAGCTGCCGTCTCAAAATTTTTCAAAAAAATGTGAAAACTTGTGCAATAGGGTTTTTATGGACTCTGAGTTCAATACTCAACTATTCACAAGATTGCGAAGCTTTCTAAACGGTGTAACCGCACTTTTTAGGAACATTGAAAAAATGGCCGCTATCTCTTACCCGGCATAACTCTTCAATGAAGCATCATAATAAGTTGGGAACTTTACGATTAGAATCAACAACTCTAATTAGCCTAGTGTTAACGCTTTCAGGCTGCTTTGTTTCCTTTGTGGGGCAAAATATGGCCTTTCATGGCTCAAAACCCTCTTCAAAGTTTCTACCGTAATCCTACAGTAATGAAGAGAGATGGGTGAGTCGTTTTGTACTGCAAATCTAAGTTGAAGCCAGCTCTACAAAATGGTACCTGAAGCAAGGCAAAAGACTTCTTGGGAAGAGAGATATTTACGATCAAACAGTGTATACATACTTTACGGACACCCTGTATATCCTTCGATTTCGATAAGTCGTTAAGTCTGCTCCGCAAGCAAGCAGGGGGGGGGGGGCGGGAGGGATTGCGCACAGTAAAATCTGTTGCTTCCCGTAAGGGGCTTGTATCTACCCTTTGATCCAACTGGCTTGGCGGCTAGAAGGCAAGGCTTCGTGACCTAACAGAGGCTAGATAATGATCAGAGAGCACGGGCGCGAGAAAGACGCAGACTGCGTCGCTGGCGCGAGCGGCCTTAGGCCACAAGGCCCCGCCATCCATTCACCGATCCAGATGAATCAAAGGTTATATCTCTCATAATAAATTCTATATGTCATATATTCTTATCTGAGGCCTGAATACTATCATACCATATCTGTTTCTACCAGTGGAATACCGAATTCAAAAAAATTCAAATCAATTTTATGAAAGAATCTTTTCGGACAGGTGAGGGTGGGGGGGGGGGGTGGCTAAAAAATTTGGATTTTTTTGGCGTTTTGTAGGTTTATCAAAGGTAAAATTGTTTATAGAGGAAATTAGAATCAAAATCTTTCAACTCTGAGGTGCAATTTTTATAATGTCTAAATGGCGCAAGAAATTCGCATACAGTAGGGGGGTCCGACAATTATCAAACTCAAATCATCTTACATATAAAGCCGAATGTCTGTTTGTCTGTATGTCTGTATGTCTGTCTGTATGTCTGTGTGGGGGTGATCAGCATGCTCGGTTACACCCCCCTGCCAAATTCCAGCCCCCTAGCTCAAATTTTGCAAAAAATTGATAAAATCGACATCGATCGATAACGAAAAGTGGACTGTGACACCCGCCGGGGCCCGAAGTGTATGTGTGCCAAGTTTGGTCCTCATCGGTTAAGAAGTGGAATTTTCTATTCGGAACATATGGCGGAGCCGGGTAAGCCAGCTAGTTCAAAATAAGGATAGACAAACATTCTAAGAAGGGTCCTATTCAGAATTTCTTCCTCTTTCCAACATGTTCTTGTTGATTCCTTCGTTGTTCGCTTGGAAAATCGTCCGAATTTTCAATTCGTAGTTTTTACCTACCCTGATATTTTTTTGTGTTTTTGTTCTGTACTTTTGAAAATGCTTTGATAGCGATTATGTAAATTAAACGAAATGCAATGCAATAAAATGTTTTGGCATCAATAGCTGGCTTCCAAAACTTCTGAAAATATTTTCCCGATGCTATCAATTTCCATATTTGGACAACCCGATCCTCATAGCACATCGGAAGGCAAACGACTAGGATGTCATTCAATGCAGCTTCTTCTCCTCCTTGGCAGATGTTCTTCCTTTATGATTCTCAAAACCTCGAGGAATGGAGGAAGAACTGCCATAATTCTAGTTTTGTGATGAGTCCCAGGCTGCACCCGAAAATTTTAAAAAACGCTGTTTCAAAATAGGAACTTATTTGTCTTTCAAAATTAGTGTTTAATCAGGGTGGAGGAACGAACGCCTCAATTAGGCCCCGCCTCCGCGGACCACTGGTCCCAACACGATGCGCAACAGTAGGACGAAAGGACCAGCAGCCCGCGGAGGCGATACCTAATTGAGGCGTTCGTTCCTCTACCCGTTTAATCATACTCAATTTTTAAAAACTCCAGTTTGCGAGATTTCATAGTGTTTGAAACGTTTCTATATTTCCCGCTTCGCAAATGTGAAGACTTTGGAAAAACTTGTTTTTAAAAGTACTGAAAAGCCAGTTGTCGATGCCAGAATATTGGGTTTTGTAGCATTTTGCTTATTCTATTTAACTTTTACCAAAGCATTTTCAGAAGTTCAGAATGAAAATTTCAAAAAAATAGCTAAAGTTAAGGTGCATAAAATCTATGAATTGAAGATTGTGACGATTTTTCAAGCAAACATCAAAGGAATCCGAACAAAAACACTACTGCTGAAAAGACGAAGAAATTCTGCGTAGAATGCTTTTTGGAATGTTTTTCTATCTTTATTTTGAAATATTTGAGGATAGATCTAAAAATGGCACAAACTTTTGGACCCACCTAATATAATCCCTCATCGAAATTTCGAACCGTCATGCTTAGTAAAAGTTAAGAATTAATAGATACATGTAGGTCTTTGATATTGCAGCATTCTCTCTGGTCCTGTATTGCATATTTTCCTTACAGCAACAGAGAGAAATATCAAAGCTAAAATCAGAAGAAATACTTTCCTTTAGTTTGGCAGATTAACACTTCCTCTGAAATATGCCCGCGAGGGCGATAATTCATACTCTCAAGTAGCAAGTACTCTGCGATTAGCTGAATCTAGAAGTTGAAACACCTTGAAATGATTACAGAGTCAGATTCCTCAAATCCTTCTCTTTTCACCCATCTTCTCTCGACAACAATTCTTGTTAGACAATTAGTGAAATTAATCGCTGTAGCAAGGGGAACACCGAATGTGAATTTTTCGGAACCTCGCAGGACCGACTTGAAGGTCGCCATGCTTTTCCTTTTTTATATTTCGCTTTAAGAGACGCATTGTTCTTGAAACATTAATGAAAAAGTGGCTTTTTTGGTGTTCAAAAAAGTTTTATT